ATAAAAATCATTTTTGCATGACAATAACAATGATCCCCCCCCTTTTTTTGGAAGCGATAATCTTTACCTTACTTGATTGTTATACAATTTTGTTTTTTGTTTCAGGCTCTTACCCTCCCAAATTTTAATATGTTTAGACAAAACAACGGACGTTATTACCTTGAAGATGTTTCCGGAATAGATTGGAAATTAATCATTTGGTTTGCTTCATTTAAGCAATTTGAAAATTATGTGGATCTTTTTATCACAGTTTGGAATTTCGTTAAACTGAAAAACGATAATATTTTTGAAGAATTAAATGGAGAAGTGAATCGAATGAAAGAACACATTAAAAGTTTATTAACAAATCAGGCTATCAATGACGAAGAATACGAGAAATATTCTTGTTTATTAGATAATTATAGAACTAGTCGATATATTAATTCTAATAATTTTGAAGAAAGGAATAGAATTGTATCTAATTCTCATCGTAATTTGTTAAATAATGATTTAGAGAATCAATTTCATCATCATTTAACGACAACATTAAGCAATTTGAAATTATATCAATTAAAGCTTATACGTCAAATGATTTTAGATAGGATGGATTCATTTGTTAACATTTCGATTAAATCAACGAAAAGTTTACGCGAACAAATTGCCACTTTGGATAACGAAAATTCACACCTTCAAGCAGCTTTAGGAAATATGACAAATACTCGTCCGAATGATCATGATCCGAATAACGCTGCCAAACTAAATTCGGATATAGTGGACCTACAACAGCAACTTTCGGATTTTACCACAGTTTTTGATTATGAGATAAATGATGAGAAAGCAAAAGAATTGTTTGCTAGTAACAAAGTTAGATTAGATTTTTCAAATCCGAAGGCCAAGACGATTTTAGAAGGCTGTCTTCAACGACTTATCATAGAACAAATTTTAACTGATGCTAACTCGTATTTCCAGAAACACATATCAAATTCGGATAACGATGAAAATTTAGAAATCGAAATTATAAATACCACAGATAGATTAATAGAATCTGTTAATCGCCTTCATGAAAATCGTCCAGGAAAAGATGATATTACACAAATCACTCCCATTAGAGTTCGTCAACAAATTTACTCTGCTCTTGGATGTCGTGGATTTTCGAATGATGATCATCAATTGATCTTAGATATATCGGAAAAGATACGTCAAACAATGGATGAATATCGAAAAATTGATGAAGAAAATATTAAAGATTGCATTGATCAATCGATTCAAATTACTCGTAAAGTGATTAGTATATTCTATTTCCGTTTAAAAATTCAACAAATTCATCAACAATTTGAACCCAAGTATCGTTTCTTTGAAAGTGGGGACGAAATAGATGTTCGTCTTATGGAAGGTTCTTGGGGTCGCGGAGATGTTAAGAAATTCGAGGTTGAAATTTGTTATTTTCCTTGCATAGAGTTCTGCGATAACGAGGATTCATCAAATCAAAAAGTTTTAACAAAGGCTCAAGTATTCGCGAGACTTAAGAAATTATGACTACAGCTTCAAGATTTATGAACTATTATTATTTTGATTTATTGTATATTATATATATCTAATAATAAAAAGAACATTTGAACAATCGAATTAATGTACTTCAATTTATTAACAAATTTTTCTTCACTTTAATTTTTTTGCTTTTTTCATAAACAATAAGATATTGAGGAATACAAGCAGATTCATCATATACAACCAATTCATCATAATTAAGTAAAGTACCAGGTTCACCAACAATGCTATCATAATTATTCGGAGGGCCCGTTAGAGTTTTGTCAGCTTGAGTTAATTCAAAAGTTCTACCAACAATTACCTTATTTAAAAACATTACTTTATACTTTATACCTTCGGAAGTTATCAAAGATTTGCTATTGAAATCGTCAGATTTTGATGATGTCCCTGAAAAATAAATTCCTTCCCCAAATTTTTGACATCCAAATCTAGATGATTTTGCAAAATCTAATTTATATCCTTCCGTTATTATTCTACATACTGCACAATTTGAATTTGAACAGAGCGCATCCGTCTCAACCCCCAAACGACATTCCCTAAAGAAATTTGTTTAATTTAATTAATTATTTTTTTTTTTTTAAAAGAATGAAAGTAGGAAACTCAATCGTTGATTCGAAATCTCACATTTTTGTTCCATGAAATCTACGTTGCTCATTTCCTTTTGTCATTAGACGTTTGCCATCACCTTTGGGAAATGGTCTACCCTCAAGTTTTCTTAATTTTTCAATATAATTTCGATGCACGTTGTACAGTGATTTAATTTGTTCATCGGGAAAAATTTTGTAAATTGTATGTATTCTTGGTAAAGCCTTGCTCACGTGTTTCCAAGAATATTCAAATTGATTAGAAACATCTTCATACTTGTCACTGTGTTTAGAAAGCTTAATCACACAAGGTCCTAAATTATACAGAGAAAAGATAAATTGAAAAGATTGAAGAAATAATCTGACTCCAGTTCTGTACCTACCGTTCTCTTTAACCCAATCTTCACATTCTACACAAAATTCTTTCTTAAAAGGTGTATATTCTTTTTTACACCTCAAACATAATTCTTGACTCTTCACCAAGGATTTCCAATTAGGTGTCATGTTTCGACATCGTTTAGAACACCATAAAGAATTTAACATCGTAACGTCATTTACCTTTAAAAAAAAAAAAAATTCAAAAACAAATGTTTAATATAAAAGAAAGCACATCCCACCCAAACTAACAAACAAATCCTTATCCGCATTTACTTTACAAGTAATACACTTTAACGTGCACTCTGATACATTTCTACATTGAAACCAGCCACAATATTGGCTCGATTCAAGTTTAGCAAATTCCTTGCAATGTATACAGGGTTTCGTAAATCCTGAACTTAAAGCTTTCCTACGACATTCATCACTACAATATTCACCGGGATGCCCGTCGGGATCGAAATCTTGTTCGTATTCTGAACAATAAAGACAATTAAGCATTCTCTTTGAAATATTTTTGATGAGGAGAAAAAATTTTAGTCCAACAAAAAATGACATCATAATATCCAGTCCAAATATGGTTGTACAATATAACTCATTGTTTCTGAAAAAGGTTACTTGTAAAACCCTTCAGATGTTTTAAAACTTAAATAATGTGTCCAATTAAATGACAATAATTAAAATTTAAATGATAATTTCATGAGGATTGAACGTGCAATTTAATAGAGATAAATTTATTATCATAAAAATATATTATAATATAACATATAAATACATGATTTATAAAAAAAGAAAAGGAAATTTCAAAAAATAAAAATTCGCTATCGCCTCTCTTTGATCTTTAATTACTGGTTGCCACTATTGCTTCTCTTCGGTCTTGTAATTATTTGAGCCTTTGTAAATACGCTTTGTTTTGATCGATCATCACCATTGAATACACCAATGCAAGGAAATGAGCAGACTTCCACCTCCATTCTTTTAGAATCATCACGTCCAAAACTTCCTTGCATGAGACGAACATCCACATCATGACCAGCTTCGAAAAATTGATGTTTTAGTTCAAAAGCCTGTGTCTTTAAACGAAAACTAAAAATATTAATAACGTTACGAGTTATTTTAATAGCTTGATCATGTAATTCATCGTTGGTTTCTTTATCTACGACTTGTCTAAATTTGTCCAACTCATTCAACAATTTCTCAACGGTTCCCTTAATTAAAGGATGTTCATCATCGGAAAATCCTCGACATCCAAGAGCTGAATAACTTTGTTGACGAATTCTGCCTGGTGTAATTTTAGTGAGCTCGTCATCTCCTTTACGGTTATCCCTGAATTTTTCTGTATACCTAATTAATCTTTCGGTAGCATTAACGAGATCGCATTCAAGAGTCATGTCGATTCCACGGTCTTCATAAGAAGAAGTGTTTTTGAAATATAGTTCGACTTCTTTCAAGATTGTCGTTATTACGTAACGTTGAAGTACGGCTCCTAAAACAACCCTTCCCTTCGTACTCGGGTATTCTACTTGACATTTATACTCCTTTATAAGATTTCCTGATGTCATATCATTAATCTTATAATCCCCTCCCTGAACCATCGTAAAATCCGAGAGCAAATCTTGTAATTCTTCAATATCAGAGATTAACTTTGATGCATTATTTGGATCATCATGATTCCAGGATACATTTGTAATATTACCAAGAGCTGCTTGTTGTTGTGAATTCTCTTTCTTCAAGGACAATATTTGATTTTTCAAATTTTCATTTTCTTTTAAAAGTGATTTACTTTTGCTAATTTCGTATACTTTTGACATTTGTGTTGCAAGTATATTAAAAGATTTCATTCTAGAAAAAATCATTTGTCTTAAAGATAATTTTTGTTGGTTTGTACAAACATCTAATTGTTCCGCAACATTACGAGGATCTAGATTTAATCCGCTATTTTCTAAACTTTCCCAAGCAATCCTTAACAATCTTTTTTTTGAACTTGGATTATTATAACGATGATTTCTATAATCATCTATAAATTTAGAAAAGTTTAAATCATCAACTGCTCCTAAAGTATTTAATTCTTCAATAATTTCAACCATTTTACTCGTCTCCTCATTAAATTCTATTGAGAGATTCGTATCAGATTCAATTGGAATAGCGTCCCAAACTATAATAAATAAATGAATCAAATTTTCAATTTTTTTCAAAGAACCAAACCACATGAATAATTTCCAATCATAATGATCATAATTATGAATTTTAATTCCCCGATGTTGTTTAGGCTTATGAGAACCTTGATAATATGTATTTTTCTCTGCCATTTTAAAATAACAACAAAAAGCAAAGAATATTTTTCAAAAAAAAAAAAAATTTTTTTTAAATACAAAAAGACGTAATATAAAACTTGAATTATATCTTGTTTCGGTTTCAATGTGAGGCAAAAGGGCTTAAAAAGGAATTATATACTGTTGTCAATCTATTTAATTCCTCAGAAAAAATTTCCGGGAAAACAAAAAAAATATATATATGGATTTACGAGATACTAGAATCCTTGTTGCAGTAGATTTTGGAACAACTTATTCTGGCTTCGCTTATGCTCATAAAGAGAACCCTGAAAATGTTGTTGTGAATAATTCTTGGTGAATATATTTTCAATTAACGTAAATCGTCTTTAATATTTCACAGATAGAATCTCATTTCTTTTGTTTTAATTAGGCCAGGGAGAGAAGGTGTGTTTAAAACACCCACAGCGCTTCAATATGATGAAAGATATAATAAAGTTATAAGCTGGGGATATAATGCATTAGTAGAAGAACCTGATGAATTAGAAGAAATATCGGACGATTCGGAAGAACAACGTTCGCGTCCCGTAGAATTGTTCAAGTTACATTTGTCAACGTTAGGTTGGAAAGAAAAACCTTGGTTACCACCCAGATTCGGGTATAAAAAAGCTGTTAAAGATTATTTAAGTAAATTAGGCGAATTGATCAGAGAAACTATTGAGAGACGATGGCCGACTGTAAGCTTTCCTCGACAAGTCGATTTCGTATTTACAATTCCTGCCGAATGGGTAAGTGTTAAATAAGTTGCTTTAAATTATTGTCATTAGTTATCTAATTGTTTACTTTTTATAAAATTATAGCCTCCAAATACAACCAAAATCATGAGAGAATGTGCACACGACGCAGGATTATTGAGTTCTCTTAATTCAAATAATATCGAATTTACTACTGAGCGTACGTTTATTATTTTGTAATTTATCTCTATTACCTTTATTTATTTGTTTTTTTTTTAATCGTAAATCTTTGTATATTTCCATCAGCCGAAGCTGCGGCACTTCACTGCCTTAGTGTCCTAAAAGAGCATCACCTAGGCCCAGGGGGTATATATTACATTCTTACTGTATTGTTTAAAAATAACAAAAGTTAATTCACGTTTCTAATGATCATCTCGTTTCTTAAATAGATTCCTTCATAGTAGCCGATTGTGGCGGTGGTACAATTGATTTAACATCACGAAAACTTCTTCCAGGAAATAGATTAAGTGAAATCACCGAACGTGTCGGTGATTTATGTGGTGGTTCATTCGTAGATAAAAGATTTTTAAAATGGCTTGGAAAGAAATTAGGCGCTGACGCTTTAGAAGAATTAAAATCAAATAATTATGGTCAAATGCAATATATAGTACAAAGGTTTTTTTGTCAGCGTATCAAATATAAATTTAATGGAGAAAGATCAGAATATAAACCTTTAAAATTAAATGTACTGCACTATTGCCCTGATTTAAACAGATATGTCACGGGAGCATACAAAGAACAAATGGAACAAGTTGGATGGGTGTTAAAGGTTGATTTTGATTCCGTTATAGAAATGTTTGATCCTATCGTTACTCGAATTGTTAAATTAATTGATGATCAATTAAAAGGTTCGAAAGAAAAATGTTCGGCAATGTTTTTGGTGGGAGGATTTAGTGAATCCCCTTATTTACAACGTAGGGTTAGGGAGGCTTTCAGCTCTAAAGTTCCCATTATCTCTGTACCAGCTTTACCAATAGCAGCCATAGTTCGTGGTGCCATAACATATGGCTTTAATATCGATATTGTACATGATAGAGTATTGAAATGGACGTATGGAATTGAAGTTTGTCGCAAATGGGCAAGTATTACCATTTTATTAATTATTTGTATTTTAAAAGAGGGATCACCATTTAACTCGATCAATACATATCCGTTTATCATTTAGGAACCTAACAAAGACAAGGCCTCCAGGAAAACGTCTGATGGGCTAATACTTTATTTTCATAAATTGGCACAACGTGGTAGAAGTGTTGGAGTGGATCAAAAATTCACGACAGATTTTTTTCCTACGAGAGCCAATCAAGAAATTATCTCTTTTAATATATATTATACTCCAAGATACGGTGCGAAATTTTGCGATGATCCGGGAATGAAGCTATTAGGGACCCTAAGGGTTAGAGCGACTGATACTCATCTAGGTTTAAATCGACCTATTGAATTTTTGCTTGCATTTGGTAAAATGGAAATTAAAGCTACCGCTAAAAATAAAAGAACTGGTAGAGTTTATAACGAGACTACTTTTGATTTAGATATTTAACAAGGGTACCTATTAGGAAAATCATTTTATCACTTCTTTTTTCAATATGTAAAGTTTTGTTTTTATTTTTAAATCTTATGTATTTATTTCATTAATTGAATGATCATTGAATATTTGGATTATTGGATCATCCAGTATCACGTATTAAATAATTAATCGAATTAATTCCAATTTCTGATTAACTCACTATAACATTTTGATGTTTTATTTAAATCACGTATTTATTTAATTCGCGTATATACATATAATAATAATAATAAAAAAAAAAATACAAATATAAAGAAAGAATTAAAAAATCGAATTCTCTAAGAAATATAGCTCAAGAATCTTTTAATTCTTCCATTTTCCTTTGGACGAACAAAAACTTGAGCTTTACTAAAAACTTGATTATCATGTTCGGACATAATAAGAGGGAAATACGCAAAATCCACCTCCATTTCTTTGATATTTTCATTCTCCCAATTACCTACAGTAAGATGTGATTCTAGATGAGCACCGGGTTTAAACCATTGAATCTTTGCTATCGGTTCTTGAGCTTTCAAACAAAACCATAATTGCAGACCAGCGCGAATAACTTTTTCAGCATCAGAACGTAGTTCGTTCTTCTTTTCATCGTCTATAACTTCACGATACTTTTCCATCTTAAACAAAATTTTATTAACAAGTAGGGAAACGAGTGGATGGTTAGAATTAGCAAATCCACGAGATCCTAGAGCAGCGTATACTTGTTGACGAATTTTAACTGGAGTTACAGCAGTCACGCTATCTTTTCCTTCACGAGTTGTGGTCAATATATTTGTATATTCAATTAGATATGATGCATAATATACTATATATGACTCGAGAAGTTTATCGCTAAAGGAATTAGCGTGTTTAGCGTGCTTAAATAAACCATCTGCAAAATAAAAGATTGTTTCGAGAATCATTCGTTGAAGAGCACCTGCTAGATAATTTTTAATTTCTTTCGAATCAAGAATTGCTTTACATTTATAATCAGCTAATAATTGTTTAGCAGCATCCTCGTTAATTTTAATAGATTTCCCTTTAACTTTAGTAAAATCAGTTAAAGAATGTTGTAAGTTCTCAATATCTTTTGTTAATTGGATAGGATTGTTTAAAGTGCTATCACTCCAACGAATATTTGTTGCGCTACCAAGTGCGGCTTGATAAGTCGTTGCTTCTTCTTTAGCAGATTTTACTGCTTGGAGTAATTCTTTAGATTCTTCTTGATGTTGTTTAATATTCGCTTCATATGCTGACTTTATTTTATCACGCTCTTGGGTTACCTTAACATTATTCGCCATAACCTCTTTAACAATTTCTTCCCCTTTCTTTTCTAATGCTTCTTTCTCTTTGAGTTGATCCTTTAATTCTTTGTTGGTAACGATAAGTTGTTCGTTTTTGGTGGTTAATATTTTATTTTCGTTGACTTTATCATTATACAATTTTTCATTGTTCTCTTTGTATTCATTGAATTCTTGATGGACGTTGAGAAGTTTGTTTTGTTCGTTCAATAAATTACCGTACCTCTGATTTAATTCGGAATTCGAATTTCTAACCGCTTTAATAGAAGCTTCTAAACTTTTATTTTCAAGAACAGCCGCTTGTTTTTGTTTAAATACCTCATCGTAATATGGATTTGTAATGCAATGGTATCTTTCCATATCATAAGTTGTCTTGTGAGATTTCAAAGTAGTTCTCAAAAAAGCGATCTTTGCTTGAACTTTTTGATGAGTCATAAATCTTAAAACTGAGCGTTGTTCAAACCTGAATGATTTTAACATTTTAATTATCGTCAAAGCTTCGTTATGCTTAACTTGTAAATAATTAAATGTAATATTCAACAAGTCATTCCTTTTATCTTTATCATGATTTAAACGAAAACTTTTAGATTTATTGATTAATTCCAAACAAAGATTATAAGTTTCTTTAGGAATCATTCCTGCTGTGTATATTTCTTCAATTTCTCTATGAATTATCTTCAATCCTGTTTCAATATAAGGTTGTTCAGAACTTTCTCTAGGTTCTTCTGTTGCTAGAATTATCCATTTAACGAAATCATATTGCCAGTTAGAACCATTTCCAAACCATTCCGCTAATTGCCACAGTGATTGATCTATTGCCGGGACAGATGGAGTAGAAAACGTACATGACGACGTAAAGGTCGAAGATGAATCATCTGATCCACCCATTTTTTTCTTTTATAAAATTTTGAAAAATATTTTTTTTTGCTTTTTTTTTGCTTCGGAAACAAATAAAAAAATTTTTTTTTTAAAAAAAAATTTAATAATAACACCTTTCCCAAAAAAAAAAAAAAAAAAAAAAAAAAAGGATTAAATATACCAAAGGTATTTTAAATTTTGCTGCGTCGAGAATTCAATTTAAGGTTTGTTCAAAAAGATATTTTGATAAGAAATGCATGATTATTCGGAGTAAACCTCCGTGATTACAATAAGTATTTTCATTCTTATCCTGTTTTCTTTGTTAAATATGAATTCCAATTTTGGACACAATTACAATAACAATGATAATCTACTGTCATAATCATTGAAAACGAGATTTTATCAGGTTACCATCGTTCGGAATACGCGTATATGACTCATTTATTTATTAAATATTGATTTAATGAGTCTTAATTGAGATCATAAATTGTTTGTTTTATCATTCAAATCAAGAACAAAGCGACTAAAAAACGAAGTCCATTTTTAAGCAAAAATCCGGAATTCTTTTTTCATCATTTCAAACTTTTTAAAAATTAGTTTCCCCCAAGAGCCCTTTTCTTGCATATAAAAAAATTTTTTGAAACACTTTGAAATATTCATATTGTAAAGTGCTCATTTTACTGCGCAAAGAAAATTTTTTATTTTCAATTATGGGCCTTAGAGATTTTCGTGTGGTTGTCGCTATAGGTAACTTTTTTTGACATTAGTTTGTGTCCTCCTCATGTATTCTTTTATAACGTTTCTTTATCTTCAATTCATTATTCATTATACATTAAGACTTTGGGACTACGTATTCAGGTAAGATATATATATATATTTATATCTTTTTATACTGAAATATATTTTGTCGAAATTTTTATGTAAAACAAAATTCTCTACCTTTATCTGTCGCACACAGGATTCGCTTACGCTTATCACATAAATCCAGATATTACAGTTCACGATTCATGGTATGTTATTAGTATTATCTTTTGCCGCATTAATACTTGTAGGCTCAAAATCCTTCTTTACTTGCTATCTTTTTCCCGATATCCTTCCCCTTTCGTCTACCACAGGCCCGGACAAAATAAAACAAGATTAACGTCGCCAAAAACCAATACAGTTCTTCAATATGATACATCATCATCCGACCCAAAAAGTTGGACAGTGAATCATTGGGGATTTCCGGCATTGGCAGAAGAGCCGACAAGAAGAACTCGTCGCCATACTTCTAATAGTTCAGTTAAAAATTTACCCGTCGAATTATTTAAATTACATTTGGCCGATAATCTTAGTCATTATGATAAACCATACCTTCCTGAGGGCCTTAATTATACAAAAGCCATTACGGATTATTTGGCTAAAATGAAACCTGTAAGTAAAATGAGAAGGGCGAACATTTTGTGAGAGAATTGATAAGAATCCCTTTCCTTTTTTTTCGTTTTACAGTTAATCGAAGAAATTTTGACTAAAAGATGGCCTGGCATTAAATTTACGCAAGTTCGTTTCGTATTCACCATACCCGCTGAATGGTAACTGATCTCACGTGATTCACATGCATGATAATATACCGGTAAATAAAAAAATTAAAAAACAAAAACTTATTTAGGAAACCTTATACTCTTGGAATTCTTCAAGATTGTATTTACGATGCTGGATTTACCGCAAAACGACAATCAAACAACAATCTAGAATTTACCACGGAACGTAAGTAACGAGAAATAATAAACTTGAAATTTATATTCATTTTATTTAATTAATATTGATTTAATACGTTTTCTTTCATTGATAGCCGAGGCCGCAGCACTTTATACCATGGGAAAACTTGAAGAGCATAAGATTAAAACAGGATGTATGTTATATTGTAATCCAGATTTCGACGACCTCGATTTAAAACTTTGTTTAAAGATTAATTCTTTTAATATAAAATGGTTTTAGCTTCATTCATGGTCGTTGACTGTGGCGGTGGTACGGTGGATTTGACGACAAGAAACTTGTTGCCCGATAACAAATTAAGCGAAATTACAGAACGTACGGGTGATTTATGTGGAAGTACGTATGTCGACAGGGAATTCATTATATTCCTTGAAAAGAAATTAGGACTTGCATCTATGGAAGAATTTAGAAGGGACCATTATGGTCAATATCAATATTTGATACATCGTTTTTTTTGTCCAAGAGTGAAATTCGGATTTCAAGGAGATAGACATGATTTTCGTAATATCGATTTGGATATCGAAAGAACATGTCCAGCATTAATGAAATGTGTCAAAGATGAACATATCATAGATGAAATGGAAGAAGAAGAATGGTTAATTGAAATTACATTTAATGATGTATTGGGCATGTTCGATCCTGTTGTCGATAAAATTTTAAAATTGATTAGAAACCAATTGGCCTCTCCTAAGCAAAGGAAATCATGTTCTGCAATATTTTTGGTTGGTGGATTCGCCGAAAGTCCATATTTGGTCAAAAGAGTAAAGGAAACTTTCGGTTCGGTTGTATCTACCATAACGGTACCTCAAAATCCTATTACTGCTGTTTTACGTGGAGCCGTTTTATTTGGACTTGACAAAGCAACTGTTGCCACTCGCGTTCTAACAATGAATTATGGTAATGTAAAGGTTTTTTTTTTTTTTATTCTTTTTAATAAGACATGCAACAAAAAGTTATTACTTGCTTGCTTACTTTTGTTGATAATTGACAGGAATTCGAATTTATCCGCTGTGGCGTTCTGGAGTTGACCCAAAGAAAAGGAAAACTGCTGACGGCCGCATATATAAATTTAATTGTCTAGCGGCCCGCGGTAGAGAAGTTTCAGCAGATGAACCATGTTCAGGAACATATTATCCAATTTATCCGGATCAAACGACCATTATATTTAATGTTTATGCTACTCCTAAAAATCATACTAGATTTTGTGACGAAGTTGGTATTAGTAAAATTGGAGAATTAGAAATTGAATTACCTGATATAGAACATGGTGTTGATAGGCCCGTAGAATTTAGTTTAATGTTTGGTGAATTATTGATTACTGCTACCGCTAGAAACAAGAAAACTAGTAGAATTTATACTACTAAATTTGCTTATGTTAGAGATAATTCTTATTTTGAAGCTACTGTATGATAGTGTATAGTTGTTAATAAATTATAGAATTGTTTTTATTTTCGGCAATTCCTTTTAAGTTGGTCAAAAAAATTTTTTTTCCTTATTAATTAATTATGCGGTAGTATTCATAACTATTAGTAAATCAATTTTCTTTTTCGCTTTTCCTTTCTTTCAATACATTCGTTTCCGGTTGGCACATCATCCGTTATTAATAAATAAAATATCAAAGAATTCTTTCTCAAAATCAACCGAAATCCAAAATTTACTAATTCTGACGGAACAATTTTTTTTTATCGAAAAGTGAGTAGTTATTACTCGCCGAAAACTGGTCGAACTTTATCTATAAGAATTACCTAATCATTTATTCTATAATCTACGAGAGTATCAAGAAAAATAAAGAAAAATCTATTAGTTGAAGAGTTTAGATTTTTTCAAATTTTTTTATCCCAATCGTCCTTTTTTTTTATTAATTAATCCGCGTTGGCATGGGATCTTGAGAAAATAATAAACACAAATGATTTAATTGATCACAAACAAGAAGCGGGCGGACAGACTGACAAAATTTATTAAGTTGCATAGTATTTAATAGTCCTTCGCTTTCGCTCCGGACTAATTAATATGTGATAAAGAAAAATATTATTATGATAGATATTATTTACAGTTTTTAAGAAGTAAAAAAAAATGTATTATGCCTTTCATTATAGAAAAAGTCTCTTCTTAAATGAATTTAAAGACAGATAATAGAATAAAATATTCTAAAGTAAAATTAACATAAAAAGATAAGGGTAAATAAATTAAAAATATTTATTAAAACAAAGAAAATAAAAAAAACATTAATAATAATGAGAAAAAAGCATTTTTATAAAAAAAAAAGATATAAGGAATTATATATAAAATAATAATAAAAAAAAGAATTTTTTTTTAAATAAAATTAATTATTTTATAAATAATAGTAATGAAATAGAAATTTCTTTTTATATAGAATGATTTAATAGTCAAAAATAAGGATAAATTATTAAATATAACTTTAAAAATCAATATTTTTTATATTCATATTAATATACAAATTTTTTTAATATTATATATTACATATAAGCATTTGTAAAGCTCTGAATAGATCAGTTTAGGTTAGATCGATCAAGTTACCAGGTTAAAAAAAAAATCTGATCTGATTTTAATTTTTATTTGACCTGATCAGATCTGACTGAATTGTTCAAGAAAAATAATTAGCTATCATTCAAAAAGAATGATAATAAATCATTCTAATTAAACAATAAAAGCAACATTTAAGAATGATAAAACATCATTCTTGAACAATAACAAATCATTCTAATTAAATAATAAAATTATCATTCATGAATAATAATAAATTATTCTAATTAAATGATAAAACTATCATTTAAAAATAATAAAATATTATTCTTGAATGATAAAACTATTATTTAAGAATAATAAAACTACTATTCAAGAACAATAAAACTATTATTCTTAAATAATAAATACATCATTTAAGAATGATAAAAACATTATTTAAAGATGATAAAAATATTATTCAAAGACAATAAAACTATTATTCAAAATGATAAAAATATTGTTTAAAGATAATAAAAATATTATTTAAAGATAATAAAATCATTGTTCAAGAATGATTGTTGATCTGAATTTGTCAGGTTAGATCAATCTATTAACTTGATCTGATATTAATCTGAAAATTTACTAATCTAATCTGAATTTTCAGTTAAATAAACAGGTCAATTTGATCTAATTTAGAGCTCTAGTATTTTGTAATAAAAATATAAGAAATTATTAAAAAATTTTTTTATTTTATAAGTTAAATATTATTTTTTTTTTTTTAGTAAAATAAATTCAGATTTAATATTAATTTAAAAATTTTTTCAAAATACCTATATAATTATAATAGTTCAACTTAATTTAAATGAACTTTCTAAGAATTTATTTTTAATAAGATAATCAAAAGATTCAAAGAATAATATATTAGTAAAAAAATATAAATTATTTTACAATAATATTAATAATATTAAAATAAAATTAGCAAAATAAAATTATCAATAATATTATAGAAAAAATTATAAATACAGTCAACTCTCTATAAATGCACCCTCTATAAGTGCACACCCTATATAAATGCACCCTATAGCCCAGTCCCAAGCTCGGGACTTAATGCTAAATGCACTCCCTCCCTTTTTGCACTGTGCAACGATTTTTTAGTCTAGACTATATATGCGATCATCTCTCTAAATGCACCCACGTGACAGGCACGTGACTTTATCGCAAACATTTCATCATCGTACGTATAGAAAA